CTTTCTTTCTTTCTTTCTTTCTTTCTTTCTTTCTTTCTTTCTTTCTTTCTTTCTTATGGTAGAATTTGATTCACATCTACTGCAACAGAGTTGTGCATATACTGCAACGTGATTTCCATATTGGTGCAAGAAATGAAGTTTTCTGAGACAAGTGAATGTTATTATTGAAAAATGATCATGCTATGAAAAGCCACTTCCATTCCCAAACCATCAACATTAAAATACATGGATTGAATTTCTGTGCACTAACATGCCTGCAGGGCATTCCCGGGGTGGTGGTGGTGGTGGGAGTTAAACTGCATAATGAACCCCCCACTCCTTTTTGTGTACATCATAGCCACAACCACCATATTGACTTTTTTCCTGCCCCCTGGGAGCAGATGAGTGAGTCTACAGGGGGAAATTCCAAACTCAGGCAGGACATGATGTTAAAGAAATGGTGTCAGCCTCACCTATATTTTTGTCCTGGTTCTTCTCCTTGATCCAGGCGCATAAGATCCATGTGAGTCGGCTGACCAGAGAATGGAGCAGAGGAAAATCCAGCACATTGTAGACGGTCATCTCTAGGGGTTCTGAGGCCACTTGGCGCAGCTCTGCTTCATCTGCATTTTTCACCCCTAGAAAATGAACATGAGGATCTGGAGGTAACATGGAAGTAAAGTGTGATGCCTGCAGAAAACCATCCAGTTGGATAATTCTGATGGGGTGCAGTTCTATGGCTAAGAGAGCAGGCAAATGGATTTAAAAGCTCCTGGAATAACGATTGAGTCTTGCCGCCAGCTGCATCTGTTGTGGGGAGGGTGGGGGGTGGGGGAGGTCAAAAAGGCAAGAGGGTGGTTGCAACTGCCATCTTGCCTTTTTTGCCTCCCCCTCCCCATGCTTACCACCTTTCTGTCTATGGTGAGAATAATATCCACCAGGAATACCCCAAATGGTTATTGTAAGGAATGTCCTGATTTGGGGTTCCAATCAACCGACTCACCAGCCATGCTCTTACTAGAATACTCCTCCATCTTATCCCCATTTTCTCTCAGTCTGGAGATTTCTTTTTCTTGCAAAAAATACCATTCTCATCTGTTTAACTGTTATTCTAGTTTGTTCAATTCCTCCTCCTCCTCCTCCTTCCTTCTCCTTCTCCTTCCCCTTCTCCTTCCTCCCTTGCCCTTTTCCTTCTCCTTCTCCTTCTCCTTCCCCTTCTCCTTCTCCTTCTCCTTCCTCCCTTCCCCTTCTTCTCCTTCTCCTTCCTCCCTTCCCCTTCTTCTCCTTCTCCTTCTCCCTCTCTGTCTCCATCTTCCTTCCTTCTCCTTCTCCTTCTCCTTCTCCTTCTCCTTCTCCTTCTCCGTCTCCGTCTCTGTCTCCGTCTCCCTTCCTTCTCCTTCTCCTTTCCCTTCCTCCTTTATAGCTCTTTTCCTTGGAGATATTTTGTGTTACAGAATTCTCCCAGCGTGTAGATGTGTCCCTCTTGGTTAAGGGTGGTACTATCTTGGTGACTTACTGTCAGTTCTCATACAGCACATTAAACCCAGATTAACAAAGCACAATTCCTGCCTTCACATAGCATCCTGACAAACAAACTGTTCTATGGCATTATGGGATAGCCTGAGTCAAACAACCTGCTATGATGGATTCCCATATCCATAAGCCACCCTGCCCCATTTCAGCTCGGTCCAGCATAATCTAGCACGAAGCCTACTTCAATGGCATTTAGTGTATTTGATGTATATGAAGTCCCTCAATGTTTATACATATCCAGGTGCCTTTCAGATACAAGGGACTACAGTTCACATCAGTCCAGTCAGCAATCATCATGGCCAACACAGCCAGGGATAATGGAACCTGTAGTCCAAAATATTCTTGGCAGCACACTGGGGAAAGGCTGGGATGGAATAATTGCTTAGCATGCAAAAGATTTCAGCTTTAGTAGAGAGGCAGCTCCATCTGGTGGTCAGATCATGGTATTGACATGAGAGAGAGTTTAGAACAGTGTTTCTCAACCTTGGCCACTTGAAGATGTGTGGACTTCAACTCCCAGAAT